ATATATGATGGAATATGCCTATACTTGATGAAACTCCGTAACTACCGTATTCAAAAAAAAACTTTGTGATATTTTCACTAAACATTTTTACAGAAACGCAACACGTGTTTGGCCATACAAGGGCTTCTTCGGGTGTGTCATTACTAACTGAATTCTACATATTCAATGCTTAATATATCTAATTTCTCCATTTGAAGTACCTAAATATCAAGTATAGCAAGCGCTAAACGTGATGGCGAGCGATCGCGCAGGTATAGACTCTCCCAATTAAATTACTATTGGATTACGATAAGCCCCTTGCCGGCCAGTGTCGTACCTATAATTAGTTATAATTATTTTGCCTAATATAACTGTTATTTTTAGCTATTCATTTTCAATTCGTCTTTTTTAGTTCTTTCAGGGATTTCAAATTATTTTATATAATATCAGACAATTGAAGTCAGAACTAATGAAATTCATCATGAAACATTGTCAGTCACCTTCAAACATACCAGTTTCCACATTTGAAAAAATATTTAGTAACGGGGAGTTATTTAATTCTATTTGGTCATTCAGTAAATTATCCGAGTTCTTGAATCTGATGATTTCTGAACATTCTAGAGGAGTGAGTTTCAAACTTTCCTCTTCTAAATGTAACACGTCATATTCACGATTGAACTTACGTCCTTTTGCTAAAAGGTGGTTTGCAAAACTACTATTTGAGGAACTACTTTCATACTCTTCAATTTTTTGGGAAAACTTCTCCCTGTTTGGCCAAATATACAGTTTAGGACAACAGCTACAGGTCAGCATATATAGTCCTGATCTATCCGACACTGAAGTTTTGTCTTCATTGTTTTTAATTCACTTAGACTATTATTCGATCTGTAATCTACGGTCTACGCATTCTTTTTTCGAAAAACGGGCGATATTATTGTAGGGTTCACCCAAATATGACAATGTCCTGTAGCTGACCTAGTCCGTGGCTTGCTTTTGTGTTTTTTTCCCAAAATTGAACGTTGGTTAGCTGACTTCAAACGTGGTCATAGAGACACCGATGATGCAGAACACTGTGGACGTCCAAATGAGACAGTAACACAAAATCGTTTCGAATGATCGAAAAGTGAAGTTGCGTGTTGTTGGCTTTATATTGCATGAGCATTTGACTACGAGAAAGCTCTATTCTAAGTGGGTGCCGCTCGAGCGGCACATAGCTTTGAACAGCAACCAAAAACTAGAACGTCTTGATGATTCTGAGCAGTGTTTGGCCGTGTTTAAACATAACAATCCGGAATTTTTGCGTCGATATGTGACAATGGATGAAACATGGATCCATCATTTCACTCAGGAATCAAAATAATCGTCNAACCTCGTCCAAAGCGTCCGAAAGCACAACAATCGGCTGGAAAGATTATGACCTCAGTATTTTGATATATGCGTGGTGTAATATTCATCGACTATATTGAGAAGGGAAATACCATCAATAGTGAATATTATATAGCGTTATTGAAGCGTTTGAAGGCAGGCAAAGAAACGACCGCATATGGTGAAGAAAAAACTGTTCTATCAATACAACGCACCTTATCATAAGTCAATCAAAACAATAGCAAAACTACCGGTAAGAAATTTCGCTAGAATGAAGAGGTAGTTAAAAAAGAGCAAATTTCCGAAAAAAGTATACAACACAGATCGATAGGTAATTGGTAGGTACACAGAACATGAAAGCAGAAGGGGTGTTTGGTCAAACTATTCGGACCTTTCATTTCATAAAAAAGTATTAACAGTAATTAGTTCTACGTTCTTTGGGGCAAACTCATCTGCTGAGAAAAAATAACATGGTATGAAATGCGTAGAAAATTGCTTAAAACCACCAAGCGCAACAGATGCTTGAAGACATTGGAAAAACGCAACTGCTTATTACTTTTGACATTTCTCTTTGTCGTTTCTCTGTCAAGTGTCATAAAGTGATCGAGCGAAGATCAATCTGGGACCTGTGGCTGATGCACAGAATATACATAACAGAACAAATGGATTTGGTCAAACCATTTCAATTATTTGCATAATAAGTGTAATACTGAATCGTGAAAGGATCTGACACTCTTTGAAGTGAAATTGCTCTGCTGAAGTCAAGTGAAGGCGCAAGCAATGCACGAAGGTAATGAAAATGCGCATTTTACACCTTATTGGTAACACTGGCTATTAGGACATTTCGACAATTGCTGCTGGTGACTTCAATGCCAAGCACAGACCTTGGAGCAGAGCCACAAATCGTAACGCCTCCATGCGCATGTTGACAGGCATGAATATCTTGTGCTGGGACCAGATGAGCCTACGTACTATCGCGGGCAGACTAGGCCTGACGTACTAGACATCGCGCTTCTCAGAAACGTCTCTGTGACTAGCGAAATTTAGGTTCTGTCGAAACTGGATTCCGATCATAATCCAATAATCCTGGTATTGGGCGATGATCTTTCTTCCCCTGGTTATCGCATGAGATCCAAAACGGACTGGGATGTCTTCACAGCCCAGCTCGAAGAGATGCGCGCCCCTCCTGAGGTACTCGACTCTCCCGACGAACCCGAAGCGGCAGTTGAGCGTTTCGAGCTTTCTGTGAATGATGCGTTTCGAGCGGCCACCTCCAGGGAAGAGTGACGGCTGAAGAGCTATAATGAGTTCCCCCCTCGTATCAAAGTCTTGATACGAGAGAGGAATCGCTTGAGAAGGCTCTATCGACGAACCTTTTTCCCAGGGGACAAAACAGCGGCAAACAGAATGGCAAACCAAGTCAAACAGGCCATCATTGAACATCGAAACGAAAGGTGGGAAGAGCTTTTGGAATCCTTCGAACCTGGGAGTGACGAGCTTTGGCGAGTCACTCGCAGGCTCATGGGGAAGAAGACTGCTATCTCACTCATTCACGGAGAGCGCGGAGTGTGCTACTCCCCCGCCGACAAGGCATTAGCCTTTGCAGACACGATAGAACGTCAATTTCAACTTAAAGTTGACGACGATGATGACATCGACCGCGATATGCTGCTGGAAGACCGGGTTCACCGACTCACTCCTCAGAGAAGATGACAAAGATGACATCCGTCCAGCTTCTGTGGAAGAACTGAAGGGTTACATCAAGGCCGCAAAGGCCAAGAAAGCCACGGAGGTCGACTCAATAACCAACAAGTTGTTGAAGAACTCCCGGAAAACTGCGTTGAATTCTTACTGAATTTGATCAACAGCTCGTTGGCCCTCAGACACTTCCCCAGAAGGTGGAAGTATGCGATCGTCGTCATGCTCTCAAAACAGGGTCAGAATCCGCTGTTCCCGTAGAATTATCGCCCGATCAGTCTACTCTCGTCGGCGGCTAAGCTGGCTGAAAGAGTTGTTCTTCAAAGACGTAACAAAGGAGTGGAGGACCGAAATGTTCTGCCTAACGAACAATTTGGCTTCAGGAGAGATCACTCCACTGAATTACAGGCTCTAAGGTTGGTCGAAAACTAGATATCTCGAAGGCCTTCTGCACAAATTAAACGCGTTCGACCTACCTCGGGGCCTGATCCGATGGATTGGGTCTTTCCTGAAAGACAGAACTTTTCAGGTCAGAGTAGAGGGCTCTCTGTCTGATAACAGAGAGATCCTCGCCGGAGTGCCACAGGGGGCCGTGCTCTCTCCGACGCTGTATTATCTCTACACCAGCGACCTCCCCAGGTCCGAGCGTGTGAAGATATCCCTGTACGCCGACGACACGACTCTTCTCTCATCTTCCATGGGTCGAGAGCTCGGCGTTGTCTATATGCAACGTGCATTGGACGACCTCGAGCGCTGGTACCTTGATTGGAAGATCCAAGTAAACCCGGACAAGACTCAGGCGATAACCATGGGAAGATTACTATCTTCTCCGGCCAGAGAATAAGAATCTCTGGAAGAGAGATTGACTGGCAAGCGCGGGTAAAGTACCTCGGCCTTCTAATTGGCTGTAGGCTCACTTGGAACCCGCACATCATGTGCGTTAAGTCAAAGATCGAGGGTCGGATAGCTAGTCCGTACCGTCTGGTCAATAGAAAATCCAAATTAAGCACAAAGAACAAAATTACCATCTACAATACGATGTTCAAGCCTGTCATCATGTATGCTTCAGGCGTCTGGGAACAAGCGGCTCCGTCCAACATTTCCATTTTGGAAAGACTACAAAATTCAATTAAGCATGTGTCAGATATAACACTCTAAGCCATGCAAATGTATCAATATTGATTTATATTTTAATTTTTTCATTCATGTAATAAGGCCTTGCAGGCTTGTTTGGGTAATGAATAAATCAATAAATAACGAATGTTTGTAGTAGGTACAAACTCAACTGTATTTTTTTTCTATGATTCAATTTTCATATTCGAAACAATTTTTCCTCTAGTTTGTATCTGGAAGTAAGTTATATGCATGCATGATCTACACATTTTTGTACAGAAAATGGAGAAGTAAAAGGCCAAAACTATTATTAAAAAAGTATAATATTCTACACACTCAAATGATTTATGACGCTTGCCTCTTGCGCCGACAGACTCTATCTCCACGAATAATGGTCACATTTATTGTTCGTTGTATAAAATACTATTCGATAGTCGTATCACTAAGTGTTCAGACGATGTCTTTAGTTTATTGGAGCCTCTGGAGATTTCCTACCTTTTGATTTACGAAAGAGAGGACATTAGCAAATCAAGATCTTCAGATGATGTGGTACTGTAGGTTTTTCCGGGTTTTCCTGCAACTGAAAAAGCAAATGCGCCACCGGAATCAATGAAGTCGCCCCGGAGCGCCAATAATTAATTTTTGTTGTTTCATAATTTCATGATTTGTATAACTTTCTTCTTTGATACTTATAATTCTATTCGAAGTACATATGTTTATAATGTTTATATTCAGTTCGGCAATTCTTTTTTTTTTTCAAATAACTGAAATACTGGTTGTGACAACTAATCTATGATTTCGTTTAATTACTGTGATTCATCGTTTATAATGAATTTCTATTTCAGGAACACTTGGTACGATTTCCGATGGAATGAATTATGGTTGGAGTGCTCCTGCAATTCAGATCTTGAAAGGCGAAAACTCTCCAGTTGAACTGGGACCAAACGATTTCCTGTTGTTAGAAACTATTTACATAATTGGCGGGCTCGTGGCGTTACCGATCACAATTTTTGCTGTAGATCAAATAGGGAGGAAAAGACCAATTTTGATTTCGGCAGTAATTTCCTTGATTTCTTGGTTACTTATAGGATTAGCAAATAGGGTTGAATATCTCTACGTTGCCAGGTTTATGGTGGGATTATCTGGGGATGTCGCGTTCGTGGCAGCTCCCATGTACATCGCTGAAATAGCCGATAAGAAAATCAGAGGTTTTCTTGCCGGTATAATTTACGTGATGTTGCTTGTTGGTATTTTGATCATCTATGCTATTACTCCATACGTACAGTTCTATGTTCCATCCATCATTGGAATAATACTGGTTTCAATTCAGTTGATTACATTTCCTTTCATGCCGGATTCTCCCTATTACCTACTATCCAAAGAGAATCCCGAAAAGGCGAAACTTCATCTTCAGAGACTACGGGGTACAGAAAATGTTGAAGCAGAACTTAAAGACATAACTGCTGCTGTCAAAAGGCAACAAACGGAAAAAGGGAGACCTCAGGACCTGGTTCTGTCGAAAAGCAATAGAAAAGCTGTTCTGATCATGTTTGTATTGAACGGTGCACAGCATTTGAGCAGTATAAGTGTGATATTGATGAACTTACATGAAATTCTTTCAGCAGCTGATTCAATTTATATGAGCTCCGAAATAGCTGGTATTTTATTTGCAGTAATGATGCTGATGTCAGCAACTATTGCTGATTTCGTTATCGACAAATTTGGTCGTAAACCTCTCCTCATAACTTCATGTTTATTAACAGGTTGCTCTTTATTAGTTTTGGCGATATTCTTCTCGTTGAAGAAAAGTGGTATGAATGTCGATGACGTCTCTTGGATTCCATTAGTATCTGTCATGGTTTATGCTGTAGTATTCAAATTTGGTCT